GAAAACATTGCGTCCGCTAGGCATGGTATTGTTGTTTTCGGTGTTTAAGTGACTAAAAGTTTTTAATGAGTCATGTTCACGGAAATACTAAGCTTATATTAGCAAAAATCGAACAATACAGTTTTAGAAGCGGCCTAGTTACTAACAATCTCAAAGTAAAATTCAGTAGCGTTCGTAATATGGCGATTTTGGGCTATTTAGTTCCTAAGAGGCTAATTAAATGTACATATATTTCCTTTACTTCTGCCTAATCGCGTGTTCCGCCGCGTATGCGTCTTTTTCTTGAAGAAGGGCAAACTGGAAACTCTTGTGAGGCAACATGCCCATAGAGTATGAGCAAAAAGTAAAAATAAGAAAGTCATCTGTGAAAGCTCAATTATTGGTTTTGGGACACATGCCGGCATTTGTTTAATCCATACAGCTATGCAACGGAGAGGAATTAAAAGTCCACGACCACCTTGTTGCCAGACACTACTAATCTTGGTTTCGTCTATAGCGTAAACAATGCAAATTAAGGGCGGAATGAAAATAAACTCTTCGCTTAATTACCCCGAAGCCGTCAAAAGGGGTAATCAATAATTATTATAAACGCACACACGAATAGGCCAGTCCAAATAGTTAACCATTATAATTTTATGCGAGCATTCTCGAGCATTGTGGCAATATAAGAAGGCAAACGTATATCGTATATATAAGTAATTTAGTCACCTAAATTGAATCTGTATACAGCTGGCTATTCATAAGCAATTTTCCATATGAGTCCACGTTTCTTTTATGGACAATTTGAAGCATACATTAAATAATGCAGTATTAACGCAGTATGAATGCACTCGGGGAACTTAGGCCGTAAGAAACCCATCTAGGTTTGCGGTTCTTGAATTTTGATTGTTGTTAAGTTTCAAGTAAATAATCAGCAGCGGATCTACAAATCTAGCCGTATGTCTGGTTCTGAACTACAAAATTGATGTGAGAAAGCAGCGGTACCTCGCGCATGGCTCAGGCTATATTAAGCGAGACAAAAAATACTTCAACCATATCTTATTTCCATCTACAAACAATATATCTTAAACCCAAAATATAACATATTTGATTGCATTCAATACTGTCATTTTCGTTTTAAATCGGTTTATGTGTGGCGTACGCCACAATGGTGTGAGGCAGATTTCCACTTGCATGCGTTAAATGGTTCTGGCTGCCCACTCCTGTCTGTAAATATATAAAATGCTAGTGACTTTACCGCAAATGTACACTTACAATTTTATGCGCGATCCCTGGGTATCGATCCGTCTTGGCACGACGAAAGATACTCCAACAAAATTTCGTCATTTATTTTATTAAAAGTAATAAACATCAGTAGATTTTCATGCACTAAAGCTCGATAATATCCCAAAACATACGTATGTAGATGGAAACGTGTATATTTACCCATGATAAAACCCTGTCAGCATACGGCCCCAGCGTAGGTGGGGCCACAGACGGCGCCAGGCAGGGCAATCCGAGGCTAAGGGTTAACTAAATCTGTTGTAAAAATTGGTCGAAATCTATTTTTTTGTCAGAAAAAAGTATCAATAACCATTAGTTTGCATCTTCTTTGATAAAACAACGAAATCAGGGATTGAAACAGGAAAACGGGGGGTGCACGCTGCGAAAATATTTTCCGTAGGTGGGGCTTAAC